GTCCACCCCCCTTCCCACCCCCCTCTTCCCTCCCGTCTCGGACCTTCCCACTCCTTAAGGAGGGAGCTCGGTGCCTTCGCAGGCTCTCGCTGCTGGTTTCAGCGGCTACACATGTCTCCACTTAGGCCGCGCGTCTGATTGCAACCCTTCTGGGAGAGGGATGGGACGGGGGCGAGGGCGAAGACGGGGTCCCGGCTATAGGCGACGCCGATCACGCGCGCAAATCCAGCCTCGACCCCGGCCTGGGAGAGACATTCCTGGGACGGCTGTGCAGGGCAGAAACAGGGCGGATTAAACAAATATGTATGCTGGAGCTTGATGCCCTGGCGGAGAAAACCGCTGCAGCCTGAGGGGCCTGGCTCGCTCTGGAGGGGAGAAGCTGGCCCCGGCTTAAATGCTCCAGGCTCCCCCTGACCTGCCGCCCCTGGGAAAGCGATAGCAGCTTTGTAGCTAGCCTGCCGAGCCGGAGCTTGTGGCGCTGGACTTCTCCTCTGTGTGTTTGCTCACATATTTTGGATGGCGGGGCCTTGCTCCGTGCCCACCTTGGCGCGGGGAGACAAACAAACAGGGAGGCATCCACCCGTGGCTCCTTTGCGGGGAGGGTCGCTCTGCTCGGGCCCTGCGGGGCCCCCGGGGAATTTAATGATTAAAGACGGTGCCGCTTCGGCAGTTCCCCGGCCTCTGTGCTAACCGTTCCCTTGCCTCTGCCCTCTCCCTCCATCCAAGGCAGCTAAGGCAGGGAGGCGCAGGCCGCAGAAAGGGTTTGGCGCTGATATTTGGGGCCCAGGTTTTGCAGGTCTACAGACAGTCACAGCAGCCAGGGGTCAGTGGCCACCCCCTCATTGCTAATCTTTCCCATCCCCCGGCTCAGGGAGGCTTGGCGCTTGGTATTTCAGTGCTTAAAAGGAGCTCAGCCCTGCATGAGAGCCAGGCCTGGCTTTTCCTTGGCTGTGTGGACACGGTTTCAAGCCCTGACAGACCAGACGAGATGATCCAAACCCACTGGGGTCTTTCCCCTGACTTCCTCGGGGCTGGGGCAGGTTCACGGATGGGACTTGGTTTACTGTGCGCCTGCCTTATGCTACGACGCTCGATCCAGAGAGAAGTGGGGGAAACCAGCTAGGAGATCAGGACAGTCAAATACCCAGGTCCATTGCGCTGGTGCTAGGGAGCTCCCCGGGGCAAAGCCAGAGCAAATCAGGTTCACCAGCTGCACCGGGTCGGGTTCACCAGCTTCGCCAGCAAACATGCATGCATGACCCTGACTCCTATCCTAACGAGTGGCAGAGCCCTGCTTCTTGTAGCGCCTGAGCATCTCAGGCCATGACTACACACTAAATGTACCTTGCTCTGGAGCGGCATCCTTGAATGCACTGTTACCTCTTAATCCAGAATAGCATTTCCGTATTCACATGGCACTTCAGGCTGGCTAATTAGCACTGCTGGATCTGTTAGCCCTGTGATTCTCAACCAAGGGCCCCTTGTTAGACTCCAGGGCTCCCTCAGAAAATGCCAGCTCTGAGCTTTCAACTGGTATTTTAACTACAGAAAAGGGGTGGCCAACCTGTGGCACCGAGGCCACAAGTAGCACCGGCAGCCTCTGTGCATGGCATGTGATGGATCAGGGTGGGGACAGGCAGCACAGCAGCAGATGGGGCAGGGAACAGAAAGCAGAGCAGCAAATTGGGCCGGGAGCATGGGGAATGGAGTAGAAAGCAGAGCAGCAGCACGGGGAGGAAAGCAGCATGGCATGCCAGCAAGCACCATGGCTGGGCACAATATGTCTATCCTGTAGGCGCAGCCTTTTTAATGGATCCTCCCAATCCTACTATCCCTGTTTCTGGTGGCAGAGCCATGCTGCTACTCACTGTTTCCACAGGTAGTGGATTGGCTTCCCTTCAGGGAAGGTTAGCGGCGAATGAGGGAAAGTTAAATGATGGATAAGCAGTTGCAGACCAAGTAGCGGCAGCACCACCAGGATATGGTGGGGACAGCAGATGGCAATGGTCTCCCTCCTGAAAAGCCACATACATCCTTTGATAGTGCTGCGACACGGCAAGTAGAAGTTGCTACTGTAATAAGCCTACCCAGCCCCCAGCCATGGGTCTACAAATCTTCAGTGGTGGAGCAGGTGGAAGAAGATGCTAAAACCTCAACGGCTGCAGAGGTGAACGAAGGCTGCAGCAGAATGAGATCTCCAGTTGTCTTGGTCTCCTTACCACCGGATCAAAGCCCCATTCTGTCAAGAATTGTGTGGAAGCTGATGTGCAGCAGCTTCACGAAACAGGAAATCATGCACAGGCATCTCCCATGACGGACCAGAAGTCCAGAGCTACCCACCCTGCATACAAACACATGCCTGTTGCTTCCAGATTGGCCCCATCAGCCATCTTTGGACCAACAGATAAGGTCATCATGGAAGACAATCAGCCTCACTTGTGAGGGATTACCAGTGATGACAATCCTGGTCAGAGGGGGAATGGCAATGCAGAGAGACGGAGGCCTTGTCTATGCACTGGGGTCCCTGCTGCCATGTCTACCTAGGAAAGGCTAAATGGCGATGCCTCCTAGTGTAGATGCAGCATCTGCCACCCTTGCTGCCACATCTCTGCGAGTCATGCATGGTGAGCCACCCACAGCACTGCCCTGTCAGCTGGGGTAATGCCAGCATTGCTATGTCCAAAAGGTGGTGTGCTCTTTCCT